CCTTTTTCCGGCGGATTTCCGGCGGATTTGGCCGCCGGAAAAAGTGGGTTTTTTGGTAGTGTAATGCTCTAGCAACGTTCATAGATTTGATGAATAATTATGTAACGAATATCTTGATAAGTTTGTTATTGTATTTATCGATGATATTCTTATATACTTACAATCAGAAGCTAAGGATGCCGAACATCTTTGTCTGATTCTCGAACTTTTAAAGAAGCAGAAATTGTACGCAAAGCTGTCTAAGTGTGAATTTTGGTTAAGTGAAGTCCAGTTTTTGGGTCACATTGTTTCCGAAGTAAGGGTGAAAGTTGATCGTACAAAGAGTGAGGCTATTGAAAGATGGGAAGTACCGAGACCATCCACCAAGATCCACAGTTTCTTGGGTTTAGCGGGGTACTATCAGAAATTTATTCAAGACTGTCACGGATTGCTGCACCTTTGACTAAACTGACGAGAAAAAGTGTTAAATATGAATGGGGAAAGGATCAGATTAAAACCTTCCAACTATTAAAAGATCGATTATGCAGTGCTCCAATATTATCGCTACCAAATGGGTAAGAAGAGTTTGTGGTTCACAGTGATGCTTCTAAGTTAGGTCTCGGATATGTATTGATGTAGCGGAGAAAAGTTCTCGCATATGCTTCCAGACAATTGAAGGATCACGAAAAACAATACCGAACGCACAATATAGAGCTTGATGCCGTCGTTTTTGCCTTGTTGATCTAGAGACATTATTTATTGGGGACTAAATGTCAGATTTACACTGATCATAAGAGTCTTCAACATTTGTTTAACCAGAAGGAATTGAATATGCGGAAAAGACGATGGATCGAATTTGTGAACGATTATGATTGCGAAATTCTTTAGCACCCCAGGAAGACAAATGTGGTGGCTGGCGCGCTTAGCAGAAAAGAAAATAGTGAAACGATTAAAGCCACCGTTAAGGGCAGACCTAATCTCTAACATTCTTAATGAGATTTTGAGATGTCAAAGCGAAGCAGTTAAAGAAGAGAATGTCAAAGCCGAGAGAGTTGAAGGAATATTAACAGCCCTGACGAAGAACGATAGAGGAATTCTATATTTCCAAGCTAAAATCTGGGTGCCACGTAAAATCTAGACGAAAGTCATAGATTTCGATACTCAGTTCATTCAGGTACCAATAAAATGTACAAAGATTTAAAACCATTCTATTGGTGGCCAAGATAAAAAAAGATGTTGCAAAATTACAAGTAAAAATTGAACATCAACAACCATATGAGAATTTGCAGCATCTGGAAATTCCTATGTATAAATGGATCATATCACGATGGATTTCATCATGAAACTGCCGCGAACTCCAAAGAGATATGATGTCATTTGGGTTATTATAGATCGTCTAGCGAAATTTGCGTACTTTTTACCGATTAAAGAGAATTATCATTTAGAAAGACTTGTAAAGATCTACATTAAGGAAATAGTAACTTGTTACGGTGTTCCTTTGTCAATCATCTCAGATAGGGACAACCGGTTTGCCTCAAAGTTTTGGGAGATCTTTCAAAGAGTCATGGGAGGAGACGGAAGGTATGATGATGATGGATTTCCAACCATTTCTTGCAGGAAGTGGACAAGAAATTGTATAAGATTGAAAATCGTCGGTTTGAAATTGTTAATTTTGGTTTTATGAGGTATCCTATTTATACACATACACATGGTAAAAAATTGTCCACCTATCCTTAGAGTTGTCATAGTGTAGTCAAATATTGACATGAAGTTGTCATAAACTTGTTAAATCATGTATAACAATATTCGTCATAAAAACTTACAAGATTCGTTCGGAAAATCGTGTATGACAATATTCATCATAATTGAAAACAAACACCCTTAGTCTTATTTTATTTATATGAGTCAACTTTTTTGTGAGTACGGTTGAAACATCATTTTGCTTTGAATTTGAGTTGTCGTCATGATTCGAAATTGGTCCAGTAAATTAATTTGAATTTATTTTGGATCAAATTTTGTTTTGTGGAATTAATTTTATAAGTTATTTTTTAACAATTCAAAGATTAATTAATTACGTTATTAAAGTATTTATAAATTAATCATCTTAATACATTTATAAAAGAAGCTTTGTAAAAAATTGTGACACATTCAATTTCATTAATGGAAACAGTTACGGTAAATTATTTTTTTCTCTTCAGTATTAGTTTCAGAAGTTTCTCCTTATTTAAAGATTTATACCTTTTTTTAACCTATATTTTAGTCTATTTGTCGAAGTTTCTCTAATTTAACATAACTACTAAAGATGTTCTAGAGGCACATAATAAAAATGCCGATCAACTTATTCATGTTTTGATAGATGATACAACGAACAATATTTAGAATTTTAATTCAAGGTTTTCAACCGTAAACATAATTAAAATTTTGAACATGTAATAAAAGTCGCTTCAAAACAACGATAGATTCAAAAAAAATCAAGTGATGGCACAGTAATAGTACACAATGATCACATGTTAAAAGACCGCAAAGAAAATATACCATGACAAAACAATTTGTTATGACACAAGAACCTACCAAGTATTTACTATATCCGTTCGTACGCCAGAAGCTCAGAAGAGCATCCCCCAACAGATTCTCAAGAGTGGAGAAAGTGATTATTTCGGGCATCTCATTCTTTTTTTTTCCTAACGGATTCTTCAAAATCATTCTTCAAAATGAATAAAATAGAAGAGAGCGTAAAAATCTCCAAATTTTGAGAGCTTTCCAAAAATGATTAGAATAAGAGAGAATTTTTTTAATATATACACACCATTAGGGAACTTTGAAATTAAATTTTTAGAAAAACAATATTTTATTAGATGAATGAAATATTTAATATAATTATTGTTGTAATCATAGATAATCGGATGGAGTTGAACATACTTTTGTTTAAAGGATTTTGAAGATTCATTCTTTATTTTAAAGAATTTTTTAAAAATGTGTTACAAATGCTATAAAAGACTATCATTTTTATTATAAGATTATTTGTTATTAATTATCGATGTCTTTTTCTTTATTATTTTTGGAACTTCCTGAATATGTGGAGTCACATGTTTGTTGTAAATGAAGGTGCATGCACCATATGTATATATTACACATGTGTGGGGGGGAGATGGGTATGGTGTTTTTTTTGTGTGTTTTGGGGGGGGGTTCAAAACATATAGTTTCATTTGTCTATAAAAGGGACATGGATTAAGGGTTATGCACAAAGAGGGAAACCATGACATGTTTCATGCAACTATAGAGAAAGATCCCATCAATTTATATGCAGATAAATACACTAATACTTGCACGAGTACAAAAATGAAGCATGTTTCTAATACGAGTTTAGAATTAAAGAAAGGTGCATGGACTGCCCAAGAAGATATGCTTCTCAAAAACTGTATCAAAAAATACGGTGAAGGAAAATGGCATCTTGTTCCTCTCAAAGCAGGTAACACACCTTGTGTACCCCTTTAGTATTCATTACTATTTTATGGGGTTTTCAAAGAAAAAAAATATATGACGAGTTTTTTTGCCGTAAACTTTTCGTATTAATCTTGTTGTTGTATTATTTGCAGGTTTAAGAAGATGCAGAAATAGTTGTAGGTTGCGATGGTTGAATTACCTGAGGCCAAATATAAAGAGAGGGGGTTTTGAAGAAGACGAAGTCGATCTCATGCTTAGACTTCACAAGCTTCTAGGCAATAGGCAAGTAGAATAAGTTCGTAAGAACAACTATTACACTTGATCTCCTTTGAGCTTTGAATGAAAGTCAAATGTATTAAAATATTTATTTTGGTGCAAATAATGAAATATTCTTTTTAATTCATTCATTGAACTTCAAACGGAAGTCAATTGTATTAAAATACTTTTTGGTGCAAATAAAGTAATAATTATTTTTCATTCATTAATTCAGATGGTCGTTGATTGCTGGAAGAATACCCGGAAGAACAGCGAATGATGTGAAGAACTACTGGAACACCCACCTACGCTCTCGTGCCAAACAACAAAAGAAGGAACCTCAAGATGCTAAATCATCAGAAGATCACATGATGGTCACAGTTATCAAGCCTCAACCACATACATTATCCAAACCCCTAAGTTGGTTCAAGGGTGACAACAAGAACGCGGAAACTCATGACGATGGAAACATAATAAGATTATCAAATGATGGTGTGGGAAACAAGTATAATATGTCCTCTGAGTTAATCTCTTCACCAGTAGTATTAGACGACACCATTAACGAGTTTTTGAAGGAGTTATTTGATGAAGAGGAAAAAGCAATTGACAGTGAAATTGGGTGGTCATTTGATGGTTCTCAAATTGAGAAGAAGGCTTTAAATGTTACTGAGGACAATGAAAACAGTTTGTTTGATTTCTCTAGCGATGAGTTCATGTGGAACTTATTAAATTCATAGTAAGTATGGTTTCCAAATCCCACTTTTAGTCGTGTTCGTATGATAAATCAACAAAACATACTAAAATAAAAATGTTTCAAGTTTTTTTACTTTGTAAGACAAAAATGAATATATATACGAATTAATTTATTTTACAGTCTGAACTAATAGACTCGCTAATAGAATGTAAAAGCATGTACATATTTATCTCACCTGTTTGATATATGAATTATTAAGTAACTTGTTTTTTTAGTTTGGTTTCAGCTTTTTTGTTCGCACGTACATAACGTGCCACATATCAACAATGATACAATATCTTTGAATATTCATATCTACTTATTACACACTTGTATTATTTAAAGGCGATCATTATGATATTTAAGAATTGAACTACGGCTACGACTTTCATATGAAACAACCCCAAGTGTTAAAAGCATTAACTCATCAAAGAGATTCTCTTTCATGTAATCTTGACAATATGTAATTAAGGTTCTACTATTTTGTTTCAAGAGAGTGAAGATCATTCAAAAGGGTAGTAATATATCAACACAAGATGACACACTACAAAAAATTTGGTTGATGTTTATAATATCTAACGTCCTAATAGAATATTTTTTTTATAGAGGTTAAGTTTATAGGATCAAATTATAAACGTCTTGTCTTAAGTATTACAATAGGTTTCTAAGACATTTTTGGAAGTTTAAACAAGTTTCTTAAGACGTTTTAGAATAAAATGTTATATTAACTATTTTATAGAATAATTTTAAAATTGTTTTATAAACTCATCTTTTCATAGGACATTTGTACTTTGGACACTTTTGCTAAATAACGTCGTATAATAAGCTAATATGACAATTTGTTTTTAAAATTGTCATACAAGTTTGTATAAAAAGTCAAAAATTGTCTTATAAACATTTTGTAACACTTTTAGTTAAGACGATTTATAATATGGTCTTATAAACTTAAGTTCTATAAAATATTTTATTATGACGCTTATACCTTATAAGTGCCTATAAAGCCGATTTTTTTGTAAAATAAACGGAAGTGGTTTATAGGAGAAGCGAGAAGTGAGCAATAAAAAAAAGGTTTAATGGCGGGGACCTCATGGTCCCGTGGTCCACATTTTGTGAACCCTACTTGCCATACCTCATAAGCAAGCACCGGAAAAGACAACCTGTCCTCCCCTGGAATCGAACCCGGGTGGGCATGCCCAAGGCAGACATTTACGGAAGGAGGTGGCCACTAGGTCAAGGCCTAATGGTTGAGAAGTGAGCAATAGTGAACCATTACGCCGGGTTTTCTAGCGAGAGAGGTATTTTGGTTTTTCCGATTTGACATTAAATCTTTTTTCTTAATTTTTGTAAAATAAAGCGGGATCCACCCCCAAATTATTTTTTTTAAAAGAGAGGAAAACAACTTCTTATTCCTAGAGAATTAAATTAACCTTACATTATGTTTATAGAAATTCGTTAATCATTAGGTGTCTTAATAAACAACTTTATATATAAGATCTAATTTATAGAATTAAAAAATAAAATGTTTTATCTAAAAATGTTATAATAAGTTATATAATTTCTCCTTCTTCAAAAGTTCGAGAATTAAACCAAGATGTTCGACAATGCTCAACTTCTGATTGTGAGTATCTAAGAATATCATTGATAAATATAATAACAAATTTACCAAGATATTCATTACATATCATATTAATCAATTCCAGTAAGCAGCATGACTAGAAACTCATGATGTCTGTATCTAATTCGGAACGCAGTTTTGACAATATCTTTGTTTCTGACTTTCAACTGATAATACCCAGACCGCAAATCGATCTTGGAGAAGTAACTTCCCTCAACTAATTGATTAAATAAATCATCGATTCTTGGCAAATGATTTATTCTTTATCCTCAGTTTATTCAGTTCTCGATAATCAATACACATTCTCATCATCTCGTCTTTTTTTTTAACAAACAACAAGGGAGTATCCCAAGGAGATGGACTTGGTTTGATAAAGCCATTGTCAATCAATTTTGTAATAAGTAACACTAAAAGTCGTTGATGTAGATGTTATTGCTATATGTGCATTTTCTTGTAGTGCTATGGTCATACAATGTTACATTTACCTTTAAAATCATTTTTATTGCAACAATTTTATACATGCTTCTTAAAATCCAATTATTTTAGTTATAAAAATGTGAAAAGATATACATCAAATCTGTTAAACACTATAGAACTGATAACGACAAATTAGTTAAAACAATTGGTTTTACAACACATAGAAATACCACCATATGACCTTTATACACACATACACTAATATATACATACATATATGTGTGTGTGCATGTATAGATGTTTATACTCTCTCCATCCCATAAAAATATATTGCTTAATTTCTCACTTCATTGAATAAAATACTTAATCACTGATCAAGTGTTTAAGATAGTTTTTAATAAACACAAGATAATGAGACCACATCGAAGTTTATTAAATTGATGTAATATATTACGACTTTAAGATCATGTATTTGATTCTTAAAAGATAAATTAGCAAATGCCTAAACTTTGGAAACTAAAATGCATGAACCATGCTGAATAATTAGTTGAGAGTCTTCGTAATGAATTAATTCAAAGTCCTCATAATGAACTAATCACTCTTCTTATGGAAGAGAAGCAATAGACGTTCGACTACTCATGAGAATGTACTTAATTGTCCTTGCTTTTCTATAATCTCTTACACTACCTTGACTTTTTGCCTATAGAAAGAGATGCACAAGGGACGCTTCTTCAATCATGGATTGTGCCTTTACCTTCCGAGCTAGTTTTTATACGGAAAAGAAAGTTGACGTAGGCTTTGATTATGAAATTGAATCTCATCATGCTTTTTGAAGCTTTTTTAGACCATCTTTTAACTCGACCCTAAAAAATTATTTGATCTAACTAAGCTTTTTGGTCTAGCGCTAGCTCAAACTTACCTGGGCCGGACCTTTTGAACTGGTATTTTCTTGACTTTTATGCATCTTTATTATAGTTTCTAGGTTAGTACTCTTTATTCTTTTTAAATGAATGGTTATGAATTGAAGTATTTTCAGAAATATTACTTTATTTTATTTTAAAAAGCCATTTGCATATTATGGCGTTGAACCCTTAAAACCTAAGTAAATGGTGACTTATAAGTTTTATTCTCTATCTGTTTATGACTTATTGTTAGACGTTTATATATTTAAATGTATAATTTGGTGTCACTTGTATTTATGTTATACTTAAGGTATAGTATTGATTATTAAGCATCCAAAACATATCCCATACGATAGTTCCTTGGGATCATTTGGGCTATTTTGTTATAATTAGTAATACTGCTTTTATGTATTTACTGTTATTTTTGAAGGAGATTTCTACTTTTAGAATCGAAATATAAGATATTTTTAAGAAAACTCGTTACTTAAAGAAATTGAGTTTTTTGTAGCATATATTGATTATGACTAATCAAATAATTCTTTAGCATTGCTTTTTGGACTTTAATCTACTCTATATAATATGATACATTTTTATATATTATATTTTATTTGAGATTTTTCAACGAGATTATTGTACTTTTGAATTTTATTTTACATAAATATTAAACATATATTGCAAAAAAAAAACATGTTTTCTTAAATTGCAGTAGGTAAGCATATATTACCATATGATTCAACAGTATAACCATTTAAAAGGAGAGAGAAAACTTGAAATCAATCACATGCATCATGCTTGTAAAGAGATAGAGAAAAATAATTAAATAAGAGAATATAAAAAATAATAAAATCAAGATGATTACATATAATTTTATATTAAAGGTTAAAACAAGGGTGTGTGGACGACGTGACTTATGATCAGACGCATGAATCACATGTTATTTTGTATGTGATTTTAGCGTAAAATCACATGTGATTAGGCCATATTTTATACCTGCTCTTCCATTATAACAACCTCCTCTACCACCTCCATAATCATTGTCGTCCATCGCCGCTACTACCGTTATCGACCACCTTCACCTTCTCCCCCACTACAACAACCTCCTCCACCAGAAAGATACTTATCATGTCTAGTTCTATCGTATTCAGTCATATTCGTACCAAATACCATATACACACTTGATATGTCCAGTCATGTCTCGTCTAGTCTCGCCTTCTTGTCTTGTCCAATCCTATCTAATTATGTTTGTGTACCAAAGGTTGCCTAACTGGCGTCTAAGTCATGATTTCATTTATGGTATGTGTCGACTTTCTCCATCAACCCAGTACTTTGATAAATGACCGATGCATGAATGACTAGAGATTTTAAGCTCCTGTTTTTGTTGACTCTTCCATCTAATCAAACTACAACTGATAAAGGAAATCAAGTAGGGTTTCTAATAATTATTGTAATATAAAATAAAAATTAATTACATTTAATAAATACTATACAAGACTTGGAATCGTTTTAGAATAAGAGTTATGGTGAGATCAAAAAGACCAAAACGTCTATCTACCTTTAAATACTTGCATTGACCTATTTAAATACCTGCATTGACCTATTTGTGGCGGATCACTAGCAGATTAAATATCACAGACAGATTTCTCCGTCGGTGATTAAAAATCTGTCAGTAATCAAGATCACCAGCCACACTTTCTCCGACAATAAGATCCGACGATAGTCTGCGACGATGGATTTTCCGTTAATGAAGCCTCTTTGTTCGTAGTGATTCTCATCGCAACTTACAAATATTCTTATTGGAACCCAACCCAAAAATACAAAACACTAAAAGATTATTTCCATTGTTGACAATTTACAGTTATGGGTTTGTGTTCCTCCATTGTAAATATTAGGGGTGTAATCATTTTACAACTCTAAAATTTGTGCGATCGTAAGAACTTCTACCTTACGGTTTTGTTTCACATGATTTCTTTTCATCTAAATATACTATTTAACATATTGATTAAATATATTTATTTCACTGTGTATATGTTTCATATTTATTCAGTTTACAATACGAAACTTTTTTACGTGAGCTTTTTGTTTCACAACACGCCATTGTGAACCGAATACATTTGGGAAAAAACACATTATTAATCACACTAAATTAAATTTTAGTAACAGATGGAAAAAAATCATATGAAATAATACTCAGAAATCTTATAATTTAGATAGTTCTCAAAAGAAAGGTCCCCTAAGACTCGTATTTAAGGTTCGATATTTTACTATAGCCTCCCAATTGTTTTTCCCACGACAATATTCAATATTAATATAAAAACAAATCATAACGATAATAGTGTTAAACGTCATCAAACTTTTACATTACAATAAACAATATGAATGGCAACACTACTTCCTTAGGGGTTGTTTGACAGTTGCTGAATGGTTTGGTGAAGAATGATGAAGTGGTCGGAATGATTAAGAGGCTTTCATGGTATAGTGCAAAATGAAATATAATTGTTTACAATGAAACCATGACACTTAATGGTTAAGGGAGACTCATGATACAAAATCATTCAGGGGGTTTTAGAACCATTAAAAGGTAGATATTTTTTTGTCAAACAAGATTCACCTCTTAATGATTCAGATGCTGCCTCTTAATGGAACTATTAAGAAGTAAACAAACAAACCCTAAGTGTATTCGACCATGATTCGTCAATCCCTTTCTTCCGATTTTATAATCAATAAAATAAATTAAATATATCAATATATAAATTCATAATTCAAATTAAGTTTATTCATTTCTTATAATTAATTTGTAAATTTCCCCCGAGACATACAACCACAAACACCTTTAAGATCTGCCCCTCCTGGCTTCCCCACCGCCATCAAAGCCCTGACCCCCATAATTATTCAAAACAGGTGATAAAAAATTTATTTAATTATTAAACAAGAGTTTTTGAGAACCATGTTGAAGTCAAGTAACATATGATTATGTTATGCATGTCCCTTTTATTAAAATATTATTTAATTGATTTTGTATATTTAAAATTCATACTTTTAAAATAATCAGTATTTAAACATGTGTCGAATATATTGTATACTTTACCGAACAAATTATACATACCATTCAACCCAATAACTCGACAAGCTTTTGTATTTCTCAATTGATATGGGATCTATATAACGCAGGGGCGGAACACAAGCTTTCTAACCGTAGGGGCCGGAGCTAGTATATTATATATTTCAAAGGTACCAAAAATACATTATYCAAAGTTATAACATAGTAAAACTTTAAAACTAAACGTTAAATATAAACATGTCAAACATAGCAAATCAAAGTGGAACCCGTCTATCTTTCGCAACCTTGAACGCTTCCACAATTTCCTCCAAACTAATCTTTTCAGCTACTTCCCTTTCGATGAACAAAAGTAACGAGTCATTTAGAAACTCATCATCCATTTTATTCCGTATTCTTGTTTTCACAATATTCATTGCTGAAAACGATCTCTCGGTTGTCGCGGTAGAAACTGGAAGAGTAAGTAATAGACTTATTAATCGATAAATAAGATCAAAAGTGATTTCTCTTCTAGTCCTTACCAACCATTGACCCAATTCTGCAAGAGATGTCAATTGCTTATAATCTACATGTTGAACGACATCAATAGCATAATGCTGAAGTTGCATTTTCAKAATTRTTYTCTCATGATCACTGAAATCTTCAGGATAAWACTTCTCTACAAGTTCTCGTACATCAAGACTTCTAAAAGTCTCGTACGCATTTTTAGGATCTAGAGTTGAAGCAAGATGAAGCATCTCCATGGAACCATCACTGAAACGATGATCTAATTCCATTAATTGACAATTAATTGCTTCATAAAAGATATCCACTCGGTAATGATGCTCAAGTGTATGATCACTATGCTCATTAAGAGCTCGATTCCCTCTGCTAACGTAGGAAGAAGACAATTCGAGAATATCTATGTTACGTACCTGACAAGAAAACAAGTCAAGAAGAAGATAAGTTAGGAAGATTTACTTGATAACGATGTTCAAGTGTATGATAATTATGTTATGTACCTGACAAAATGACTTAACAAMGCAAAGCAAAGCATCCCAGCTTTCATCTTTCATTAGTTGCAATAACAATTTGGTAGATGCAACTAACCTCAATGAGTTAAAAATATCTTGATCTTTCCTTTGTAAAGCTTGACAAAGTATATCAGTGATCTCCATTATTTCTCTTTCAAGATGCAAGATAAATATGAACTCAAATGTCGTCATAGCCTCATATGCCAAATCTGCATCTCCTTTGATTGGCCCAGTTCCTTCCTCAAAAATTTTGAGCAAAACCTCACAAGTTGGACTGAACATCTTGATTAGGCTAGAAACAGATCTGAGATGAGAACTCCATCTAGTATCTCCGGCTCGTTGTAATGTACCAATTTGATTGAGACCTCTACCGGTCTCTAATTCATCAACAGAAATCAAGTATGCAATTTGCTCGACTTATGCATCTCGTAGTTGGTCAATGCGTTTGGAAGAAGCACTAACAACATTCATGACAACAAAAGACAACGTTGTAAAAAACTTACGTAGTGCTACAACTCCTTGAGAAGCGGCCATTAATGCCAATTGCAACCGATGAGCAAGACAGTGAACATAATATGCGTATTTACAATCTTCTAAAATTAGGAATGGCAACGGGCCGGGTTCGGGCCGGTTTTTAGAGTCCCCGTCCCCGAAACCGATAACCATAACCATCCCCGTAACCGTCCCGATCCCCGTCGGGGATCTTATCGGGGATTCCCATCGGGTCCCCGCGGTTTCCCCGATCCCCGTTGGTAACCCGTTAAGAGCAAAAATAACCGTTACCCATTGGTTTTACCCGAACCCGAACCCGAATCTGGAAAAACACATTATCAAACCAAAAATTGGAATAAAAATTAAAAACATCTCCAAACCGAGCAGAAAAACACATATATTGAGTACATGATCAACCAAAAAACGTCTTAAATTACAATCCCAAAGTAAACTAGAGTTTAGACATAATCCAACTAGATTACTATTTACCAACTTCAAACCGAGAACTCCCAAACGGCCAAACTCGTCAACCCAAGCTTTCACTTTCCTTAGCTTCCTATAAAATAAAATGTATGTAAAAGACTAAATAAATAAATATACCAAATCATCGTCAATAGTATTGTAATTGTAGTTACCTCTTCCACGTCATAATCATACTCAATAGTACGGCAATATGCTTCGGTCTCATCAGAACAAGTTTCTATAAAAAAC